ATATATATGTGTTCAAAGAGCTACAAAATAAATTGTAGTTGTAACACAGGAATAATGTAATTTGAAACATATATATATATATATATATATATATATATATATTATGAACAGAAAAAAAAATCAGCTGATAAAATGTAGAATTGTCCGCACCATCATCTTCACGATCATCACTAACAGTGATAAATTCTTATAGCTTACTACATATATTTGTAGCTGTTGGTAAGAGTAGTCTCCTGTTGCAATTCACAGAAGCAAAATATCAAGGTCAGTTACACAAATTTTCTGTGCTGCCCAGCTAATATAATAAAGCTTCAGTGGTTTAACCAGACCTTCTGTTCATGTTTCTTGTTCAATGCTATAACCCATTTTGAATGCACCATTAATCTGTCTTATATCAAACAATTGGCTGACCAATTTTATTTTTTTACTAGTGAGTTACATTACAACAATAGGAACTGATTTCAAAGTCAAAATATTAAATGTTGACGGACGACGATATAAACTTCATCTCTGGGATACGGCCGGGCAAGAGCGGTTCAGAACCATTGTTACAACGTAAGGACTAATTGATACTTCTCCTGCCCTCCTCGTTTGCATCTGAGAATGAACGATGCAGATAAAAAAAAATTTACTCAACACAAAACACCTTCGTGTTTGCCAATCCTTAGATGCAAATGATGGTGTTTACTCATCTGGAATTTCTTTAGTTATTACAGAGGAGCACAAGGTGCGTTGATTGTGTATGATGTAACAAATCAAGATTCTTTTGCCAACCTTGGATCCTGGCTACATGAGCTACATCAAAATTCTTCAGCGGCTTCTATAATAATAGGTATGTGGTGATGGTGGTTGATGATGGTGGTGGTTGATGGTGGTGGTGGTTGATGATGGTGGTGGTTGATGGTGGTTGATGATGGTGGTGGTGGTTGATGATGGTGGTGGTTGATGATGGTGGTGGTTGATGATGGTTGATGATGGTGGTGGTTGATGGTGGTTGATGATGGTTGATGATGGTGGTGGTTGATGATGGTGGTGGTTGATGATGGTGGTGGTTGATGATGGTGGTGGTTGATGATGGTGGTGGTTGATGATGGTGGTTGATGATGATGGTGGTGGTTGATGATGATGGTGGTTGATGGTGGTTGATGATGATGGTGGTGGTTGATGATGATGGTGGTTGATGGTGGTTGATGATGGTGGTGGTGGATGATGGTGGTGGTTGATGATGGTGGTGGTTGATGGTGGTTGATGATGGTGGTGGTTGATGATGGTGGTGGTTGATGATGGTGGTGGTTGATGATGGTGGTGGTTGATGATGGCGGTGGTGAAGATGATGTGATGATATCGGCAATGGTTGTCATGATGGTTAGTTATTATTATGATGATGGTGGTGGTGATGGTTGAAGATGGTGGTGATGATGGTCTGACGATGTTGGCAATGGTTGTTATGATGGTAATGGTTCTGACGGTTGATGGTGGTGGTGATGATGGTTGATGAATATGGTGATGATGGTCTGATGATGTTGGCAATGGTTGTTATGATGGTAATGGTTCTGATGGTTGATGATGGTGGTGGTGATGATGGTTGATGAATATGGTGATGATGGTCTGATGATGTTGGCAATGGTTGTTATGATGGTAATGGTTCTGATGGTTGATGATGGTGGTGGTGGTGATGATGGTTGATGAATATGGTGATGATGGTCTGATGTTGGCAATGGTTGTTATGATGGTAATGGTTCTGATGGTTGATGAATATGGTGATGATGGTCTGATGTTGGCAATGGTTGTTATGATGGTAATGATGTTGTTGGTCATTCTATTATTTTAGTTGGAAATAAATGTGACAGGACAGAAGATCAAATTGTCCCAACTAAAAGTGGAGAGGAATTTGCAAGAGAGCATGGACTGGCATTTTATGAAACTAGTGCCCGAGAAAACATTAACATAAATGAGGTAACACAAGACGTAGTCAGGCTCTTGCTACTAACTTAGACAGTTTAGAACTGATAGAACTATCCAGTATAAATACAGTTTAGGTTGAGGAGGGTCTTCACCATAATAGATACATATATCTTGGTGTAACTACTTGTTACTTGATGGGAACTCTTAAATGGCAGCTGAACAAGTTGATAACTATATTTTTTTTTTGCTCACAAAAGATTTTTGAAGACTTGACAAGACAAGTTCATAAAGCTGATGTGCAAGCAAGATCTATGGACATCAGCGACTTCAGCAGTGTAGTGCCTATAGAAGACAACACTAGTGATGAGTCTACTTCAAAAAATTGTTGTTAATACTAGTCAATAATAACGGCTTATTGACCGAGCATGAGGTCTGTACTGTGAAATATCGGACCAAAGTTTTTTTAGTATGGACCGAGCGACGAAGGAGCAAGGTCCATGCACAAAACAGAGGTCTGACATTTCACAGAACAGACCGAACAAGCGAGGTCAATAATTGGTTTATTATATGGCTTAACCGAGTCTGTGAGCATTAATGCTTTACATGCGAATTAAATCGGCTATCGTCAGTTTCACTGGATAACAATATACGGCAGGCATGCATGCTCAATCAAAAACAATTTGGTTGTTTGAAATTTTTATCTGTAAATTTTTAATGACACACAATTGGAAAATTAAAAAGCAAATATTTTTTTCTGTTTGCAAAGCAAAACTAAATTTCCCAATAAACGACATCCAGGACACCGGTCCAGATACGGAAAATACGGACCGGACAGTCCGGACATGGGTTTTTACGGACCGCTTGTCAACCAATCAGAATAGAGAATTTTGAAAAGCCATATAATAATAGTTATTCTTTCCTTTTTGCTTATATTTTATGGTCTCTAGTCTATGGGGCCTGATGCACATATGTAATTGTATGCTAAGCATCATAGCAATAAGCATATCTGACTTGCACAAATTTAGGAAACATTGGGCAAAACCAGGAAACATTATTTCCTAGCCATGTTTCCTGAAGATGGACAAACCAGGAAACACTGTTTCCTGGCCATGTTTCCCAAAGGTGATTGGAGGAGGCATTGTTTCAACAACAAAAATCACACTTCAGGTATTAGCAAAATGTGATTCTGATTTTTCTTGCAAAACATTTTTGCTTCCCTTTTACAAGTAAAAAGTTAATACAAAATTAACACAATTTTTTATTCAAATGTCTTTTGTGAATAAACCTTCCAGTAAATGGCCTTAAAAAATTTGACCAATTTACCATCATAATCACTAAGTACACTGTCATTAAAATGTGATATCTACGTAATATGTGTGTCTTGTGTATAATTAAATTTAATTTCTAGTCAAACATGTAGAGAGATAAGGCAATACGTGTTATAAACTAACAAAAACTGTGAATTTTCAAAACAATGAATGACAATGGAACATGAACGATCGGATGGAACTACAGTATGTTATCTCTATGCAACTGACTTATCTCTCTCAATGTATGGAAATTAATTATTTTTAAACCATTTCCCCAATTATGCTATTTTATTCATCAAACCTCATTAAAATTCAATTTTCTCGTGTGGTTTCTCGGGCTCAGTCTGTTCTCCTTCCTGAGCGTCCTCAGTCTCCTCTTCCATCTCATTTGACTCGACTTGCCGAGTCAAACCATGTGACACCAACAACTCGTTGATCTCGACTCTACTTTTCTCTGCTAGTGCTACCCTCTAGAAGTTGAAGACAAAGTGGTTAGTGTATGCAAAGTGGTTAGTGTATGCATGGATAATAAAATAAATGGATAGGAAACTAGCTGACGTGACCTAATGTTTTCAATGGTTGCAAACCAAATTCTCAAAAATGGCATGTTTATCGATAATACTGCTAAACATTTTAGTCAAAGAGCAAATAAATATAACCACGCCATTCTGAAGCATTAATTCGTAAAAGAATTCCACTAACATTTCTGACAATTTGCTATTTCGCCAAGGCAATCCTTTAAATTGAAAGGGCACCTTTGCCCTTCCTGGTAAAGGGCAACAGGGGCGGCTGCCCCTCTTGCCCCCCCCCCCAGTTCCGGCGTCCCTGGATTCAGTTACCTGAAAATACAAGCAAAACTTCAACATTTTGATGAAGGTCTTCACTCAAGTTTGGCTTGTATTTTCAGGTAGTTGAATCCATCTCAATCCGTAGCTTTCTGGTTGATGCACAATGTGTCTTTCCCCTCTGTGAGCAAGGTCTGATTACTGCAATATGCAGTTGTCTGATTATAATTTCATCTCAATCATCAGCTCTCATAATTGGCCTATTTTTGCCTCGGAAAAATTGGGGATTTTTTGCCGAAGCACATTCAGAAAAGTGCTTCCAGTTTGACTCTACCAAACACAGGTTTTCTTTAGGTACTCTGGTTTCTTCCAATCTCGTTCCCCGAGCCTGCGATCCTCGGGAAGGAACGCGAGGCTCTGGGATAATCCGTTGCTGGAAGCCAGGAATTCTGGCTAAGATTGAACTGCGCATTCCATTTCAACGGCCAATCAGATTCCTCCCTGAAACGGATTATCCCAGAGCCTCGCGTTCCTTCCCGAGGATCGCAGGCTCGGGGAACGAGATTGGGTTTCTTCCTGTAGTAACACTGGCCTGGGGCAGGTATTTTGCCGGAGCCGGAGTTTGTTCAACTCCGGCAGCACTTTATTTGTGCTGCAAAATAATGTCAGACATCGGCAAAAAAACCTGAATACATCGACGGAAAAGTAAATGCTAACATTGATATTGCATAGGCCTGCCACAAACATAGTACGAAATGTTCATGCGAAGTGTTAAAATAAAAAACAAAGATAGTTCTTCCACTTGGAAATGTCAAATACTTGGAAATGTGAAATTTCCATTAAATTTTTGAATTTTCACAAATTTGCCGGAATTGGAAATTCTCTGTTGGAGCTGGAGCTTCTTTTGGCCAGAGCCGGAGGTGAATTAAACCCGGACAATTGCACCCCCTGAATCTGTGCAGACACATTGTAAAATCTCTTTAAAATCATCCTCTTCCAATAATAACAAGAATTGTATTTGGATTAAATGCAGTCAATCTGCCAACTGACCTCTGTCTCCTCTCCATTTTCTAAAAACAACATGCGTGGATCAAGTCCACCAATGTACTTCACCTCAAGATCCGGGCTGGACAAAAGTGTTAAAGACTTTATAACCAATTAGTGTCCAATAGATTCCCCTTGAAAATTGTCATTTAAAAATAAAATAACAAAGTAGGGAGCATAATACTGCTTAACCCATTGAGTGGCAGCACTCTCCCCATGACAAGTAAAATCATCTGGCGTTAGACAGAGTAAAATCATCTGGCGTTAGACAGAGTAAAATAATCTGGCGTTAAACAGAGTAAAATAATAAAGAAGGGCGCATTGCCACATAAAGGGTTAATGTCTAATATAAAGGATACTATTCAGCCGCATCATTGTTGAGGAATGCCTTCACCTACATAAACAAATCATTATGTTGAACAAAAAATATCTTATGGTTCCAGTTCATATACTGAAAAAAATTTGAGTAGGTACCTCAGAAATATACTTTCTTTTGAAATTTGTGTTTGCTTGACATTATCATGGGTGTGATCAGTTGACATTGCTGGGACAATGGACACCATTTTTGCAATCACAATTTTTTTTATGGGGTCAATAGGTAAGCAAACAACAAGAGGGTAGGCAAAAAAGATCAGTTGGGAATACTTTTTTGTTAGAACTTAGGCATAGATTTGCAAGTATGTTTAGTGCAATGTGGTGTGGTAATGTATGAAAAGGCTCATGTTGCCAGGAAGCTACGCCCCAGAGCAATTTTGAATCTTGAGCCACAAAAGTTGGGTGTGGCTACACTTGCAGTGAATCTCGGCAGATCTTCGGCCGCTGGACACAAATCTCTTTGAAAGAATACATCCAAAGAAATACAGCATATATATACCTCAGGAAGGCGATTCAAACGTCATCCTCCACAAGTCTAAAAAAACAAGAAAACAAAATTTTGAAAATTGCAATTTGAGTTAATTATTAACTAAACTGAAAATGTCAACAATATTTTTTGTTTTATAAATGTTTTTTAATGCTGTTTTATAGTTCTGCATTGTGAAATAATTCAGTTATCTACAACAAATTGAAGAAGACATCCCATATACACAGTCCAGGATAGCAAGTACCTTTGGTACACGATTAAAATTAATCGACCGCAAAAGTATCAAATTATCATGCAGGCTGCAGCATGGAAAATTGCAAATTTATTACAGTACAAATAAGAATTCGCCTTTCTTTATACAAAATATGTGTAGAATTATAAGTATACATACCTCGAGACGGGCTTTGGGGCTTTTTTCATCTTCAGTAGCCGAAATGTGGAGCGTAAAAAGTGCAAACAATAAACCTGTTGTCAACCAAAACGAAGCCATTTTGCTTGACACGAGTGCGTGGAGTGCACGCACAAAACACGCACGCACACGTTGTTGTTGTTTATTGGCTAGGATTAGGAACTTTAGGATTAAGACTGGATTAGATTAAGGTCAGAATAAAGGTTAAGATTAGATTGGGTGTTAATGCCACATTTCGGATAAAGTACCAAGGGCGTTGTGAAAACCCGGAATGCCGGAATATCACGGAATATGGCGGAATATCACGGAATATGGCGGAATATCACGGAATATGGCGGAATATCACGGAATATGCCGGAATATTGCGACATTTTCCCGGAATATACCGGAACATCACGATATTTCCCAATGGTAGCCATGGGCATGTACTAAAAGGCGAAACGTCGAAACGAAACGGCCGAAAATGTAAATTACAGGAAAATTGAAAAATGCGGATACGGACGGACGGACGGACGGGGGGGGACAGGCGGATGGACGGGGGAGACAGGCGGATGGACGGGGGAAGAGGCGGATGGACGGGGGGACAGGCGGATGGACGGGGGGGACGGCTTCATTTGACACGAAACTCAATTTTAAAATCAAATCCGCGTTTTGTTGAAAGGGATATATTAGGATATATTATAATAGACTATTATTAATCGTAATAAATTGTCCGCGAAAAGTTGATAAAATACATGTGGAAATGCGGGGGTTTTCAAACCTTCGTATAGCGTAACGCTTGATCGGATAAAACGCGGATATGCTGCAACTTTCATGCTTAATGTTCTCAGTCATCTGGGTATGTAGTAATCTAATTTTATGCAATGTAATGTGTTATATTTTCAAGGGCTTTTCAATGCAGTTATCGGTTTAAATATACCTAAAATTCCCGTTAAGATATGACAATTGCCTTACGGCCTACTTTTACGCAAGCGAAAATTAGCTACAATTGCCACTTTCATGCTTAATTTTCTCTGTTAATATCCGGGCATGTAGTAATGTAATTTTATGCCAATGTAATGTGCTGATGAAATTTGCAGTTGTAATTTGCGTTTGCGTAAAAGTAGTCCGTACGGCAATTGTCATATCTTAACGGGAATTTGAGTTATATTTAAACCAATAACTGCATCGAAAAGCCCTTGAAAAATAGCACCTTACATTGGCATAAAATATACATTACTACATGCCCAGATAATATAACAGAGAAAATTAAGCATGAAATTTGCAGTTGTAATTTTCGTTTGCGTAAAAGTAGGCCGTACGGCAATGGACCATTTGCATTATACACTAAATTTTGATCTAGACAAAACTTTCATCACAGCTCGAAAGCTAGAGCATCACAAAATTAGTAATATTCCAAAGTTTCGTTGCGAAATGTTGTAAAATGTTGATAATATAACCAGATAGATAGATAGATAGATAGATAGTTTAATAGATTTTACATGGCAGCCGAATTGGCTGAATTGCGTAAAATTAACAAAACTTACATATTACAAATTTCGCAAACGAAACTTTGGAATATTACTAATTTTGTGATGCTCTTTCAAGCTGTGATGAAATTTTTGACTAGATCAAAATTTGGTCTATAATGCAAATGGTCCATTGTCATATCTTAACGGGAATTTTAGGTATATTTAAACCGATAACTGCATTGAAAAGCCCTTGAAAATATAACACATTACATTGCATAAAATTAGATTACTACATACCCAGATGACTGAGAAAATTAAGCATGAAAGTTGCAGCATATCCGCGTTTTATCCGATCAAGCGTTACGAAGGTTCGAAAACCCCCGCATTTCCACATGTATTTTATCAACTTTTCGCGGACAATTTATTACGATTAATAATAGTCTTTTATAATATATCCTAATATATCCCTTTCAACAAAACGCGGATTTGATTTTAAATATCAGTTTCGTGTCAAATGAAGCCGTCCCCCCCCGTCGACCCGCCTGTCCCCCCCGTCCATCCGCCTCTTCCCCCGTCCATCCGCCTGTCCCCCCGTCCGTCCGTATCCGCATTTTTCAATTTTCCTGTAATTTACATTTTCGGCCGTTTCGTTTCGGTCGTTTCGTTTCGGTTGTTTCGTTTCGGTCGTTTCGTTTCGGTTGTTTTGTTTCGGTCGTTTCGTTTCGGTCGTTTCGATGGTTTCGGCCGTTTCGTTTCGGTCGTTTCGTTTCGACGTTTCGCCTTTTAGTACATGCCAAACAAAATGCAGAAATAATACGAACGTATTAAAATGCTTTACTTGGTGTGGGTTTATATATTTGAGATTAACTTAGTTTGTTTCGCTATAAAACGATTTTCTGCGCTGGAGAAGACCTGCCATCGCGGCATGACTTGAGTTGACGGCATGACATGTTCAGTTACAGTATTAATATTTGTAAAATATATAGTGTTAGTCACTTGCTTTATATCGTTCAAGGTTTTAAATTTTGGTAATTCTTTGACTTTAATAGTTATTAATATGATTTATTTTGCCAATATTTTCCCGTTGTCTGTTAAGGACAACGTACATACTGGCTCCGTTGCACACATATATATAAATATTTATATATTTATATTCTTTCACTTTTGACTTTAGACGTTCCTAACGTTCGCTATTACAAACGGCATTCCACAAATTTAACAATCAGTATATAAGGTGGCTTTGTGTGTTGCGAGAATAATCTACATGTTTCTAATGAATAACCTACATGTTTGGGATGCTTATTTTTAATATTTTACACAAGGCTGCCAAACAGTCTGAAGAGAGCTATTTTGGTAGTATGACAAACCCGGAAGTTTAAAAACGTCACAAAATATAAAACCGGTTTTGCAAGTTCTCAACGGCAACGTCAGCATGGAAGTGAGATTTGTATCGCGTGCCACCAGAGGTTCTCTTCGCCTCGCGTAAAATAAATATACGAGCGGGAATAAGGCGAAAGATACAGAACCTCTGGCAACCAGGGTAGTGCATTGTGCAACGAAGAAATACTCATGAATATTAAAATGTATACATAATGTATATATGAACAAAAATACAAAGCATTAGCGGGCCGCACAATATATTATTCGGAAAAATATAGAATTCTTCAAATATTAAATAGATATCAATACACATACAAATATAAAGCCAAATAAAATACTACCATTGGCATTGAATCAATGTACAGTAATACTTGTACTATGTGCGACTGAAAGAACAATGTTCTGAATATTTGAAGCTATTACTCCAAAATACGGTCAGATAGATTGGGATTTGGAATACCGAATACGTCTAAAATTTTACTAACTGTGGTCTAAATAAATGATAAATGAGCATGTATTTATTAATTTCTTCGAAATCACGAGTGTGCCAATAGTGGAAGCATAGTGGTCGAAGCCGTATCGACGACGAAATTGTCAGCAGTTTATACAGTAAATAGTACACAGCGTTTAATGTACGATATATATTTATATCTAAATGACACGCCAGCGAGGATCAACAAAATAATTTTTCGTACATATTTGGGTATCTTTTGTATACCTTCGCTTGCTGACTTGCTCACTAATGAGAACAATCTGTGAAGCCACGACGACCTCAAAATGTACTATACTATAGTCTGATGTCAATCCGAAGACGAAGTTCAGAATACTGTAATAGTTTCGTATATTGGATTTAAGCGATAGATTCAAGTCATTTATGATAGACTTTTTGCTGTGATGCTTTGCTATTGCTTTTGGTTTCCATTTCTAGTTTTATTTGTTCGATAGTCTTATAATATATCATATTAAAATGAATAAAGTTCAAATTCTTCAAAATACTGTTGTTGACATTTGCTATTTTTAGTAATTTTGTCAACGAGTGTAAGCCAATCAGAAGCCTGCGTTTCTATACGAACGCCACTACCAAGAAAACCTATAGTTCCGTGCAGGCCCTCTATTCTTCGCGCCGCCCGTAACCCAGGGCCTGTTCGCAGGCTAGAGGGGGGGGGGGACACGTTACATGCTCGAAGCTGAAACTGATTAAGTACGTCTCGACTGAGGAAAAAGACGATCATACTGGAGGAACTTGATTTCTGAAATCTCGTTAAGGCAGTTGTAGATATGGTTCCAAGAAGAATAGATTTAGTTTAGATTTTTAACTGTTAAATACATATATATGCATCATCGCCATAGCATGAATATTTCTTCTCAGACTTATTCTGTATCGTATAAAAAAGCAACGCAATTTTGAGAATGCGGAAATGGTGTCTCATACTACCTAAAATGATTTAAATGCAACCTTTCTGATCAAAATCACATTGGGATCCCCCCCCCCCCAGCATCATAAAGAGGAAATAAGGTAACACTGACCCCACCTTTTCAAGGTGACTTTTCCAATTTATTTAATTCCGAGTAGAAATGTCTGGAAAAATTCATGTCTTCGATGTACTTTATAATCTTCGGAATTCTGCTAGATTTCACCCCCAAAATGCATGAAACCGCAATTCAGGGGCCCAAGATTTCAAAATTTTTCGGACCCTCCTAGACGGTCGGTTATACGCCACTGGTTATAGCTGTACCACTATAGCTACAAAGAGTTGAAGTTATTGTTTAAAGTAAAATATAGCTGAAGTTAATAAATTAAAGTTTTACAAAATCTCTCTTCAGACTCGCGCGTTCGCCAAACCTCGACGGCTCATATTTTCGTTCTGCCCTTTTTCTTGTCCCCCCCCCCCAGTGAAAATTCCTTTAAAAAGGCACTGTTTTAATACAAAATTATTAATAAAGTTTTACAAAATTTGCTTTGTTTACAAAAGTTCTATTATGCATAGATTGCTAATTTGTCCTCCAGATGCATCGTCACCGGCGCTGTGACGTCATGTGCAATGGGTCTATATACAAGGTGGCCAAAAAAGTTGCCCTCCCCTAATAACTACCAATGTTCGATATACCGATGTTGAAACCAATATCGGTTTATCGGTATCAGTCTTTCAGTCATATCGATATACCAAATTTCTGATATATCGGAATTTTTCGATATACCGAATCAAATTTACACACCATGCACATGGCGAAATCGTCAATTTTTGTTTTACCAAAATGCAAAGTAAAAGAAGTAGACATTTCGTGATAAAAACAATGTCAACGGCTTCGAAATTATCATTAACAGTGTTTCCACTTCTCAAATTATTCAAAATCAAAATTTCCTTCAAATTTCCACTAAAGAATTTTCCTATCTAATTTAAAATGCGAAAAACCGGTATACACCGATAATATTGCTATAACATTTCCGGTATACCGATACCGGAAAATTCTCATACCGAACATTAATTCCTACTAATAAAAAAATGGTAGTATCCGGTTCTTTGTCACCATAAGTAAAGGAAGCTTTAATAAAAGTTATGTTTTCGTACGTGCTTGGACAACCTTGTAGATGCGTGAATAAAAATTGTTATTCTTTGTCACATTTTAGAAGAATAAATATTAATTTATGCATTTAGAGAGCGTTAATCTAATTTAAAGATAGCTGTTTGAGCCAGAAATTCATCAACATTGTTAAAGTGCTACTGCAGCGAATTTTTCGACCTTCATTTTTTAGCTTAATTAAAAGTGCTTTCCTTTCTGATCTGTTTACCACAAACAGAATTGAAATTGGTCAATTCAAACCGATTTTATAGCCTTCCAAAGTGGCCATTTTTGGCACTTCCTGTGCGAACTTTTGATCGGCCATGTTGATGCCATGTGACGTCATAAGATGAACACGATTTCATCATGGCGTATTAAAATTATAGTAAAACCAACAAACGCGGAGACAAAGGCCGTGTTTCTGGCAGTTCTAACTTAGATTATTGCACGAATTCTGAACAGCCAGTAGGAATACCCATGCATCCATTTCCCAACAAAGAGACAGATCCACAGAGTGAAAGAAAGTCAGTGAATTTTATCCGTAAAGATTGACCGCGGGTTTTCACGCATCTGCGAACCTAGTGTTTTGATTGACCCCGTTTTGAAGATTTGTGCTATATCTTATTTTCATTGACAAAACCTCGTAAAATGGAAAGAATACTGAAGGAAGAAACTGTTTATACAATTTACATGGCTAGAATTGTTGCCCTGGCTAAAGTACAACTAACAGACGCAAGGCAAATAATTCAGGTA